TTTATATAAATTGGGGAGTCCGGAGTTGGGACAGAGATAACGCGAGTCTGAGAAAGAAGAAAACGGACCCAAATTAAGGTGACGTTTGTTTTAAGATTCTATTTGATTTAACACGATAATTTTTTAGTTTTATTATAATATTTTTTTTATAAAAATTTAAAAATTAAAAATTAAAATTATGAACTATAATTTTAATTTATAAATTAAACGTGAATTAAAATGTATTTATTTAGAATTATAAATAAATAATATAATAATTACTAATGGTTTTTATTTAGGTATTCGTGTTTGACAAATTTCATTTAATAAAATTTGCCAAGTGTCCTAAATTAACTATTAAAATTTATGCTCCATTTACGTTACGTGAGCTTGTTTGAAAAATATTAAAATATGAAATAATAGAAGACTTTATAACTTAAATTTAGAGAATAGCTTTAACACTATTATGCAACCTCGTCTTAGGGAAGGGATTAAAATTTTAGATACGAGTGCGTTATATACACTGCATGATTGGACAATTTATAGTATTTTATTAAACAACTTACTAATTCAATTAAAATTTAAGGAATAAAAGGGGAAAAAAAAAAAAACTGTTACGTCTGAAGGAATAGATTTTAGATAAGAGAGTACGTCTATAACTGCACGATTGGACAATTTATAGCATTTACTACTAATTCAGCTAAAATTTAAGAAATAAAAAGAAAAAAAAAAACTGGTTTTTATTTGGGTTTGTATTTATCTTTTTTTTTAATCTATTTATCCCTTATTTATTAGGGTAAATTTTATATTTTTTTTTTGTTTGAATAATAAATAGGAGAAATAATTGAAGGTCGTAGCAGTGAGACAGTGAGAAACTGCACGGGGGACCCACACGTGGCGCTTCGCGTGCGTTTCAGCGTCCGTACTTCATACATAAACAGCCATTTAACGACCGGTCTCTTTGATTATCAAAAATCATTTTTTTTACTGAAAGTAAGAATTTTTTTTATTTATTTCTATCTTTTTTTGCTGAAATTATTTATTTCTATGTTCTTGTCTGATCTATCCACTCCTTTTTCCAGAAAAAAAAAAAAAATTATATTCGCTCCTTTGGAGTCATTTGAAAGAAAAATAAAGTAAAATTAGCTTTATTTTTTTCTTTTGAAAGAAAAATGAATGTATGGGTTATGTGGGCGCGTGTTTTTGCGGGCAAGAATCAAGGCAAATCACCGAGAATCCCTAATTTTACTCAATAGAGGGATGGCCTAATTGGTAGTCTTATATGTCAATTATAGTTTTTTTTTTTTTTACAATTTTTCTCATAAAAATTTAATTTTAATTTTTTTATTACAGTATTTTTTCTCACCTGAATTTACTGTTTTAACTCGCTGGACAGTTAATTAGTAGAAGATGATTTCTTTCCCTTTTTTGGATTTAATCATATTTATTTCATTTATAGTAAGGAGAATTTTTTTATTGTATATAATTAAAGAAAGACTCTCTCTAATGAGACTATTCTACTTGTAGAGCAACTTTCTAATTGTTTGATTTGGTCACATTAAATTTAAAATGTATACAGAATAAATAGTTCGTTATATAGATCTAATGCTTAAAAATAAAAACTCCCTAAAAAAAATAGTAAAATATATTTTTTCTAGTCCTGTAAGAAAAACTCCCTAAAAAATAGTAAGATAAATGGTGTATTCATTTGCACAACTTAAGTCATGATTTTGGTTGTGTATGTAAGAGAAAAACACGGTAGTAAAAAGCTAAATTTGAATTTACGTGAGAGAAGACACTGTAGCAATATGATTTGAGTTATGAAATGAAGAATGTCATATTTTTTAAAATTATTAATAGGAACTTTCCTTTTCTGCCACCAATGGGAATTACTATTTTAGTCGACGGGTTAATTTCTTAATGACCTGATGTATGATTAGCATCAATTTTATGTCACACGCAATAAATTTTTAATGTAAACACTCACAAATTATCACGTTGAAAAATTAATTTGACTAAAATAACAATTCTCATGAATATGGAAAATGACAGTTCCGACCGTAAAAATCCCTTAAAATTTCATTAAACTGTCTTATCATATAATAATCTGATGGATGCATCTATTGACATCCATTTTTTTACTTTTCACACGCCACTTTTTAATATTACAAGATTATCCATTAATAAAATTACTTTTAAGGACAATAATATTTAAAAAAAAATACTCATTACACACTATATTATTAAAAAAAAAATATTTCTTCTAAAAAAACACATGTGATTAGCACTCTAAAAAAACACATATGATTAAACAATTATAAAAAACACGATTTCACAATATATATATATATATATATATATAACAGGTAATATATGCAGCGGAAAACAAAGGTTATATAAAAATGCATATATATTTGGTTCTTCATGAGAATGTTCGATTTGACTTTGTCATGAGGAAGCTTTGGGACTTCTAAGAAGAAGAACATGGAAGAAAACAAACCTCATAAAAAATACATTGTTTTTAAAAAAGGAAGATAATTTATTTGTTAGTGGGCAAAAAAAAAAAAAAAAGAGATATAGAAATTACAATTTAGTTGTAGAGATTTTTCAAGAATAATAAGAGAGGTGTTACAAGTAATAATTAGAACTCTTTTATATTCAAAAAAAAAAAAAAAAAAACTCTAAACTTGAATTGGGATTGGTTTAAGAAAGTGCATATAAAAAGTAGAATGTGGATAGTTTAGTTGTAGATGTTTTTTTGAAATTTTAAGAAGAATGTAACAAGTAAAATGAGGGGTGGTTTGAGAATGTGTATATAAAAAGTATAAAAGGAGTGTCAATAAACACACCCTAATCTAATTGTTAAAGTTTTATAGTACCCTACCACAAAACTTTTCTTATTATAAAGACAAAATATTGAAAAATCTAAAATTATTAGTCATTACACCAAAAGAAAAATGAGAGGAGTAAGGAGATTTCAACAATAAGTTATGAAAAATAAACTATCGGCAGTTCTTCATTTTTAATTATAAGAATTATATCAAAAACTATTCGTATTATATATTTTTTAATTTGATGTGATTTTGATTTGAACTAAATAATAGCCATAAGAATAAAGCTGAACAATAATCAATGTGTTTTTTTAATACGAGAGTCAATAGATGGTTATTTCACACAGAGATTTTGTGGTATTATTTCTAAATTATGACAAACTCCTGTTTAGTCCAACAGAATAAATCATGCATTGATATTTTTTTTTTTTCTTTCAAAGAAATTATTAGTTGATTCGCTATGTTGTAAATTAGAAATTAATGCTTGGAAAAAAGTCTCCGCATACTGTAGCATGTGAATGATAAAAAACATTACCGATTCTTTTTTTTTTTCTTTTTTAACACTGATCATCAATGTTCTAAATGGGATTGATTTTTCTTTTTTTTAAGGGTCTGAGTATCTAATTATCGTTAAATTATGTTTGCCACATGGTGAAATCTTTCTATAGCTTAGAAAAATGAGTTGGTACGTGGATAAATTTTTTTTTTTTTGAGGCAGTAGTTTGATAAAACTGAATCCTTTTGTGTTTTATAGGTTCAAACTACCGTTTAAATTTTTTTATTATAGTATTTTCTTTTATAAAAATTAAATTTTCATTTAAACTTTTTTATTCAAACTTATGAACCAAAGGGACGTTGAGTTCATTGAACAATTAGTAGCAAGTCTTAAATTTCTATTTTAATTCAACGTTTTGCAATTTACTAGTTTTGGAACGTACTCCCACGTATTGTTGTGTGTGTCACTTGAGAAGTCTATTTAAGTAAATTTATTTTGATTTTAAACATACATTAGTAGAGTAGATTAAAGAAGCAATTAAACATATATATAATCTTCGATGAGGTGCACTTTGAAAAATTAGATTTTAAGAAAATAGATGTGTCAAAATGTGTTTCAATCACAATTTATGTTTCTGACGGATGTTATATTTTCATAAATAAAATCAAACATACTAAAAGAAATATTTTGATCTAGACAAATTAAATAAAAAACTAACTAAGGGTTTTACATATGGAAAGAAAAGATGTTTACGTAATTGTATTTTTTAGTATCATTATTTTAGTAGTGGTTTTTTAAAATAAAAATATACTTAAGAACAAATCACATAAAAAATTAATTAGGTGTTCATATGAGAAGGGGAAAATGTTTGTTTAAAGGTATATTCGAAGAAAAATATTTTAGTGGAGTAAAAAGAACAAAAAAATTAGTTAAATACATGTAACCTAAAATATAAAGATGATAGTAAAAAAATAAAAAAAAAACTACTTGAGTAAGAATATATTATAAAAAAAATTAAGTGAGAAATTAGAGAAAAAATAATAATTTAACAAAGTAGATTTGAAAATACATGTGAACAAGGTAGAAAAATGAGAAGAAACATAAACAAAAGGCAAGCATGTAAATAAAAAATATTTAAGGACCAAAGAATAATAGTGAAGGAAAAAAAAAAGAGAAGCGAAACGTTCCCCACATTTCAGCCCCAGAAGGATTAGTTATTGACGATTTATAATAGTTCGATTAGATTAGATAAGACAGATTTAATTATTTTTTGTTTACGACTATACGTAAAAAAAAAAAAAAAAAAAAAAAAAGAGCTCTCTTCATAGTACCTTTCCTAAAACAATTGCTAATAAAAAGTATTTTACAAATGATAATAGCTTTTTTCCTTTTGAAAAGAATTAATTATAAAATTTTTTCTTGAATTATGAGCCGTATAATACTTTACTTTTTAATTTTTAAAACGCAAGATATGTTATTCTTGAAATTATAAATTTTTAATAAACATGCACTTTCCATGAGTTTTTCAATAGAAAAGTGGCTCATATTATATAATTGAGGGGTGTTTTGATAATTCTGCATGTTCTTAAAAAAATACTACAAATTAAAAATTAAATCTGACTAAGTAATTTTTATTTAATTATATGATTATATGAGTAAAATTATAAATTTTGTCTTATTGTTTAATTTTATCTATTATCATATTAAATTTTATTTTATTTTATTTTATTTTTTAAAAAATATAAATTTAATAATCATGAGTAGAAGAGTAATTGTGCACCAAACTATTTAATAACAAAAAAATATTTGCGTGACATGTGGCGATTTTGTTAGAAACACTAACAAAATGAGCATTTTTATCAACAATTCATAATCTGGAGAGAATGAGCATTACGTTTTGAAGAGGGGGGAAAACTGTTACACAGGTCATAATTCTCAAAAAAAATTTATAATTGATCCAAAAAATAAATAATAATAGCTTTTATTTTTTTTATAATTAGTGCTAGTAATTATGGACGTGGAATGATGTAATAGGAAATGGCCAAAATTAATGTTTAACCATGTTTAATAACATATTATTTATAGTAATTCCATCAATTTAAACTTAATAAGCTTTGTGATGTTTGTATAACAACATTACACGATTTATTGAGTATGTTAGGCCAATAATTCTAGTGCTAAACAGCTAAAGCTATTAGAATAGATATTGTGAATGTGAATATGTTTGATAGTGTCGTGAGGATATTGGCGAATATTAAACATGTTCCTCAAGTAAAGAGAAGTTTAACTTTTTCGAGCGCTTTAACACATTATTAAATAAAGAAAGTGACTTCCTCATGTCAAGATTACAAAGAATTTGAACTTGACACGTGTTTATTCTCATTAAGCTTCTATCAGCATCATCTCACTTATGAGAAGTGTCAAGATAGGATACTTATATGCGTGAGCTGATAGGATTGTTAAGTATATGACTTAAATCGGTTTATTAGGCATAATTGCTATTTATGTCTTTGGGCTAGAGTTATGTTAAGACCTTTTGAGATGATTTTTTTTTTTTTTTTTTTTTTTTTTTTAGAGAAGTGGAGAAAGGAGTGTTTGCATTTCAGAAAAAGAAAGAAAAGTGAGAAGATCCAAAGACAAAAGGTGTAAAGAGTTTCAAAATAGATGGAGAAATTGAGAAAATTTATTGACACTGTAATCATTTAAGTTTGATAGTGAATTTTTTTTTCTCCCGTGTTATTTTTTGGTTCAATTTATTCTTCTATTACGTGGATATAGAGAAGTATTTTCCCCCAACAATTATCTATGACATAAGCGCCCAAAGTTAATTTGTTCAATATTAAAACAAACTTTGCCCCTAATAACTTGACAGTACTGGTTTTTACTTTTTACCTTCGATTATTTATAAATTCAAATCATTAATTTCTAGTAGTGATTAACTCCCAATTTGGAGTGATTTAAAAGCAGAACGTTTGAGCTTTTTATTTTTGTACATTTTTTCATAACAAGTCATCTCTTTAATTTATATAAAATCTATTTTTATTTATATTTGAACCCTTTCTTTGAGAATAGTAAATTAAAATTTTCATTTATATTCTTATATTACACTATTTTTTATATACGCATGATTTATTTAAGTTCAAAGCATCTTGCAAAATCAAAATAGTGAACTGAAAATATTATACACATTTGTCTGTGAATTTGTATGACTTTAGTAACTTACTCTTTAAATTTTTAATTTTAGCAAGTTGTCCATTCAATTTGTTAAATTGTTGCAATATGCCTATTTTAGCGATGATTGTGTTAAATTATTGTTGAAAAACATGTTCGACGAAAAATTTAACGTCCCAATTCAAATGTAAAACAAATCTTGTAAATACTCAACTTTTAATCCCCTAAATCTAACAAAAAAATTTGAGCAAATTTAATAAAATGAGGCACAGTACAACAATTTTACAAGTTTAAGGGGTTGATTGTCAAAATTGAAAGTTTGATTGGTGATTTGCTTAACCACGACAAATTTGAGTGACAGTTGAGCTAAAAACTGTAAAATATGAGAAAAAGCTATCATAAGCCTACCATAAATCCTCTCATAAAAGGATCTCTCACAATTATTATTATTACTAGTCGAGGCACGTGCTATGCACGTGAAAAATATTTGATCTAGCGTCAAAGCACGTAAGTTATTTAGAAGTTAAGTTCATTAATTGGAGCAAGAGAAAAAATATTTTAAAAAATCGTATCGAAAAAAAATTAAAGTTATATGAGAGTTTTTAGGGAGAAAAAACTTAAGTATGGAGACATCTGAAAGGAGTTATTTTAATTTAAAAAAGTTTAGGAAATTTTTTTTAACAAGGATATTGTAAAACAAATGTAACGGTTAAAGAATGTTAGGGGAAAACTAAAAAAAAAAGGTCAATAAGCAAAAAGAAAGAAGTAATTAAGAAAAACATAAGAAAGAGAAAAAGATAAGAAGAGGAAAAATTTAAAAAGAAAAAAAATTAAAGTTAGATAGGAGTTTTTGACAAAAAAAAAGGGCATATTTGAAAATAATTTTTTAATTAAACGAAAGTAAGAAAAAAGAAAGCATTTTAAAGATTGATATTGTAAAAAAAATAAAGGATTGTCAAAAATATTAGAGGAAAAAATAAAAAAGATAATAGTCAAAAGAAAAGAAAAAAATAAAAAAATGAAAAAGAAAAAGAGAAAAGAGGAAAAGTTTAAAAAGAGATGGAAAAAAGAAAGAAGAAAAAGAAGGCCTTCTTATGAGCGTGGGTGCTTTTATATATGTTAGACATTAGATTAAATGTATAAATAGTTGTTAAAATTATAAAAGAGCCTTTTAAAAAAACAAAATAAGATTGGAAAAGAACAAACCACACGTAAAAAAAAAAAAAAAATTGTAAAAGAACGTTCATAAAATAAAAAAAATGAAAGAACAAAACATCTAAAAAATAATAAAATAATAAAATAATAAAAACATAGCAAACCACATGAGAGTCAGGAAAGTGATATATGGGTTCTGTGAAAAAAATTATGTGTAAAAATAATTTTTAGTATCACAAAAATTACACGAAAAATAATTAAATAGAGGCAAATTTAAAGATGATTATTTTAACTATTAACAAAAAAGTTAAAAGAAACACTCATAAAATAAATTACTTTCATAAGAGTAAAGTGAACACAAACTATTTTTAAAAAAATTAAATGTAAAAAAATCACAAAACAAAAAAATAAAAAGTAAAACATTTAAAATATAAAAAGAATTAAGATATAAAAGGGAAAAAGGAAAAAAGAAACTTAAGACATTATGAAACCAAATTATTAAATAAATCAATCTTAAAAAATTGAAAAACTCTCAAAATAATTGAAGTATCTTTTTAATTGGAATATTTATTTGTGCATTTTTAAAAGTTTTTATTTAACTTGTTAGTTAAAATACATCTAAAATAATATTTAATATAAATTGTAAAGGATAATATGGTATTTTTAAAAATTTAATTGCTTAGAGAGTGTTTTGGGTCAATTTTTATAAATACATTGGATATTTTAGACATTTAAATAATAAAAAAATGAAATTAATATTTTGACAAAATACAGAAAAATATTTTAGGTATTTTTTCTTTTTATTTTAATATTAATTGGAACTCAATTTTTACTAATAGCTAAAGTTGAGTACACACAAATAGAGGTGGAAGTGCTGTGGCACCTTATCTTTTTAGAACCTCTTCTCAAAAAGTTTCTGCAAAAAATCCTTTAAAAAAAAAAAAAGAAAAAAAAAAGAAGAGGTTTCTGCAATAAAAGTTCTGTGCAAGTAATCGAGGTCTCAAGTCTCCAAGGGGCGCATATATATATATGTATGTATGTATATAGCTGTCTTGGCTTTCAGGTCCATAGCCAATGTTGATTCATCAGTTGGGAAACTGGGTCACTCTGTGTTCACTGCAACAACAACAGCCTTTCTTTATTAATGTTATTATGAGGCACTCCACAACAACGACAGGTGCTCTAATTCCCAGCAGGTCATTACCCATTTGTTGCTTTTCCACCTCTCGATTAGGTATAAGTTCGAGTAAAGTAAGAGTAAGAAGAGGCCTTTGTCGTGCCAGAAGAAGAGTGAGATACGAAGAAGAAGAGGAAGAAGAGGAGGAAGATGGGCATAATGAGGAGATTTTGATGTTGGAAGCGTATAGCCAGAGTTCCAGAGAAGAAGCTCTTCTTGTGAAAGCTGAAGTGGATGCTCAGGAAGTAGAACTGCTTATCTTCAAGGTCAGTTTTTAATGTTACGGGTTCGTTTAGTTAGAGGATTTAAACTATGTGATTCGAATTATTTTCGATTTACGTGTATTTTTTGTGAGAGAAAATACTGTAGCGAATCACGAATCATGATTCGAATCAGGGAACGAATCTCTCTACCAAACGCCCTGTACTATCTTTTTCCTTTTTTTTCCCCTGAATTTTATTTTCTGTTAAGAATTGGACCTTGTACCAAAAAATGTTCCATTTTCAATCCTGAACTCCTTTAACGTCTTGGGCCCTATTTGGTATTAGGTAAGGGGGTTTTGCCGGTTTGAAACGCATGGCTCAATAGAACTTTCATTTTAGTGCTCCGAAAAACAAATTTGAGTTGAGACTTAGACCCCGTTTATTTCATCGATTCGAATTTAGAATTCGAGTTTTGTTACAGTGAAAGGCTCTCAGCAACAGTCACATCTAACTTTTTAACTACAATAAAAAACTCTCACATAAAATCACATCTCAACTCAAATTAAAACCCACCCCAACCCAAAAATAAGAACCTGATGGGTTTTGTCAATTTGAACCATACGGTTCCAACCCATTCTTTTACATACATTCAAACAAAGATTCAAACCACGCGTTCAAACTTAGAGAAATATTAAGGTCTCGTTCAATTCGCGGATTTAAGTTTTTAATTCGAGTTGAAATATAATTTTATGTAAAAATTTTTAACTGTAGTAGAAAAAATTAAATATAATTTTTGTGAGAACTTTTAACTATAACAAAATTAAAATTAAAAATTTAAATCGATTTATATTATATATATATTTATTTTGTTTATTTTATAATACTGAATGCAAGCTGTGTCCTTTTATGGCTACAAAACATTGTTTGAGACTCGTGAACCTTATCCTGTCAACTCTCTTTTAATCCACAGCAAACACTTGGCAATGCTGCATAATATAGCACAGAAGATATAAGAAGCAGGGTTGGGAAGGCCATTGGTTTCAACCCTTAATATCAAATATCAATATAGAAAACCACCTCATTAGAAAAAAAATAAAAAAATAAAAAAATAGCAACACCAGATAAATTTGGAGAGATATGAAATTTATTGATAATGGAACTTGAAGACTTATACAGCCCGTTTGGTACCAAACAGGCATATAGTAATAGTATATGGCTTGATCTTTGGGTTTAGGAATCAGAAAATATAGAGTAATTTCTGCTGTACTTGTTTTATGCAACAAATTGACACAAAATCAATAGATTAGGAACTTTTGTAAAATTACTTTATTTCAGAAAATGTTTTGAGCAGTTTTACACAATAAAAGGAGTGAATTAGACCATTTTAAAAATTCGAAAGATAAGTCAACCTAAGATATATAGTTCAAAGTATCTGTGAAATCAATCCATTTTATAACTTTGGTAAGAAGTACAGAGCAAGGGAACATAAGTAGAGTTATGAACAAGAAAAAAAACAATAAAAAAGAAAAGAAATGGAAAACTCAATTTTGAGTAAGCAGTATTATATGAGTCTAGATCTGCAGTTGCTAACTCTTGTCTCATTAATTGTCGCTTTAATAAAAATTTGACGCCTCATTAAAAATTTTACATATCATCTACAATTAAATAAGATAACGGAAGCAGATCAAATGGAGCTACGATGTTTAAGGATTCGTTTAATTTATTAATTTAAAATTTTAATTTGAATTAAGATGTAATTTATATAATAATTTTTTATTATAATAAAAAAATTAAATATGACTGATTTTAAAAAAATTTTATTATAATAAAACTCAAATTCATAAAAGGAACGTGAGTAACACTTCTATGTATTCGTCACTTTTTCAATCACCAAATAGAGAAAATCGTAAAGTCACTTCCACCTTTCAAGTGTTGAAACCAGCCATGGAAGTTAAAACCCACCCTCTATCTCAGCGTCAACTATGGCACCGTCGTCGAAAACCTCACGACATGTCATAGGTCTCCACCTCCCTCAAGATCCGAAGGACGATCGACCAGATCAAGATATTCTACGCCAACCCCGACATCCTTCGTGCCTTCGCCGGTATCGGCATCTCCTCCATTATTACTGTTGGAAACGCGACATTCCCCGCCGCCAAGTCCTGCATCGCCAGCAACATCAGTCCCTTTTTCTCCAAACCCATTATCAATCACATAATTGTTGTTGGAGAGAGTGGAATTCTCGTAAGATTCCTCGATCAGCAAGCCCATACTTCGGCGAGAAGAAGACCAATTCAACCCGCAGGCCACAGTTTCAGAAAGGGATCACCTACTTTTTTTTTTTTTTTTAATCTTGGGGTTGGGTTTTTGTTGAGATAGTAATTAGAAATAAAGAATTATTATTATTTTTTATTTTTAAGAAAAAGTTTATGAGCCACTCTTTTACCTTCTGTCTATAAAAAATAAAAAAAACTTTTTTACCTTCTGGTTTTTTCTATGATAATATGTAAGAACTCTCAAAGAGTACGGTTACCACTTCATGATCTATAAGCTGAAAAGTTATTTATAAATGATTTTGATATTACAGGCAGAAAGAATAAAAAGAAAAACCATCAATTTTATTCTTTTGTTCCATCCATAACGGATAATTCCGCGCGTTTGGTTCAAAGATTTGTGTAATGTTTCAGATTATAGTTTGTGGCTCGCTACAATGATTTTTTTCATAAAAAATTGCACGTAAATCGAGTAATTTTGAATCATAATTCTGAATCCATGAACTTAAGAGTGTGTTTGGTTGGGGGGAATGGAAATGAATGGAAAGGAATCAAGGTTCATTCTTATTTTGGTTAGTTTTAGAAAAAGGAATGGCCATTCAAAATGGAATGACTTTTTCATCAAATTGGTGAATCATCATTCCTTCCTCATATGAGAGTAATGCCCATTTTAAGCTCTTTTAATTTTCTTTTCCATCATTACCCTTAAATATTGTAATTATAAATATTATAATATTAGTATTTATAATATAATTAATATTATATTATAATAATTTATATTATAATGTAATTATATCTTATAACATATAATATAATATATTATAATTATATACGTATATTATAATATATCATAGTTAATATTATAAGATATTATATTTATTATTTTTTATAAAATTAAATATAATAATTATATAATTTATAAATAATAATATAATATTATATTATGTTATATTAATTTATAGGATATAGATGTGATGTTTTCATTAATAATATGATAGTTATAATAAAAATTAAGATTTTATTCTTTTAAATATATAATATTATAATTAAGTATTTATATAATTACAATATAAATTTATACTAGAATAGATAATATATTATAATTAGAAATGATAATATACTATATTATATATTATAATTATAATAAGTTATATTATATTATTACATTTTTATAATTATATTATATTTTTAATTATAATAATATAATATAGTATAGTTGTAATATTATAATATAAAATAATCACAATATCATTATTTTATTATATTATATATTTTGATTGTATTATAATAATAAATATTATATAACTATAATTATAATTATATATATTATATCCTTATAATTTTATATATATAATATTAGTTATTAAATGATTATATTAATATATATGATATTAGTTATATTAACATGAGGAGTAATTTTGTCAACATGAATATATTCATATCTCATTTCATTGCATTTGTAAAAGTATAACCAAACAAATGAATCATCTTTCTTTTCCATTATATTCCATTACCATTCTTATTTCCATTATCATTCCCCCACTGCAACCAAACGCCCCCTAAACGTCCACCTGTTGAGGTGTAAAAGTTTTGATGAGGTGTCAAATTTTTATTGAGAGGACAACAAATGAGACGGAATTACGGGACAACGGATTTAGACTCGTAAATGGGCAGATGTGCGTGTACGTACGTACCTGATGAGGACATCAGGGATGCAAGGAACACTCACGATCCAACTTGCATGTCATTCCAAGATACACGTGCAAGGGGGAGTCCAAGATGATGTAGGCGTGTTTTCCAGCCAGGAATCAAGTCAAAATAGCGGATAAAGACTTGATTTCGTTATCATTATATCTTTTTGGATTTAAAATAGGATTCCTTCCCTAGGATAAGCTTTTAGGCATTTTTAAGGAAGATGTTAGATTCAAATTCGGATTCTTTCCTTAAGAATTATATAATAGGCATTTTTAAGGAAGAAGTTAGATTCAAATTCAGATTCCTTCCCTATGAGTTATCTTATCTTTAGGTGTTTATCTTGCTTTAGGCGCCTACCTCATTAAGGGTATATTAGGATTTTTACAATTTTTAAACTCTTCATGTTATTTTCAGCTATTTAAGGCTGAAATTCGATTAATAAAATAAGTTTTGATGTTTTTATTCACATTGTGAAATATTATTCTTGAGTTCTTGAAAAAACTATTCCGAACTTATCAAGGTTTCCTTGTGGCGTTCAAATCGTCTTATCAAATGGATCTTCCATTCATTTGTGGCGTCTTCACCATACCAAGGTTCTTGCTTTGCTAAGCAACGGGTCGCGGTTTCCATTAATTCTTGAAGATCTTGAATCGAAATCCCATATTTGGCTACGGGTTTTGTCACGTTGTTGGCGAGGTTTGTATCAGTTGGTATCAGAGCTTAGGATCGTCAGGTTTTGCTATCCTTTTTCTTGTTTATTGTGTTTTCTTTTCTTAGTAAAAAAAAATCGCACATTAGGGTTAGGGTTTTCAATTTGAAAAAAAAAAAAATTGTGATTGTTAGCTAGCCACTTGTTTGAGTTTGAGTCCAACTACTATTGTTAGATTTTGACTTCTACAAGGTTTACAAAACTGATTACAAAAAAAAAAAAAAAGAAAAAAAAAAAAAGAAATCAGAGGACTGCGACTTGGAACAGCTATAACTTTTGATCCAAGAATCGTTACGGGACCCATAATATATCAAACGAGTGAGCAAAAGAGCATGAGAGAACAAGACAATGTGAGTGCTATATTCAATGTTACTACCTTGAGTCCTTTTGATGTAGGTGAAGATTTGAGGACAAATCCTTTTCAAGAAGAGGGGAATGATGAGGACATCATGGATGCAATAAATACTCACGATCCAACTTGCATGTCATTTCAAGATACACGTGCAAGGGGGAGTCTAAGAGGATGTAGGTGTGTTTTCCAATCAGGAATCAAGTCAAAATTGCGGATAAAGACTTGATTTTGTTATCATTCTATCTTTTTAGATTTAAATTCGGATTCTTTCCATAGGATAAGCTTTTAGGCGTTTTTAAGGAAGGAGTTATATTCAAATTCGGATTCTTTTCCTAAGAAGTATAATAGGCGAGACACAAATTAAGAGACAACATATCTGAGCTCGTATTATATCGAGATCTTCATAGACTATAACCATTGGAATTTTATAAAGCACTTTCTGGATAAGCAAACTAAAGCTCGTTTTTACCTCAATAAAATAAATATTTCAGAGTGTTTCTGCACCATATTCATGAGAAATGTGTAAAGACACTATATATGGGTTAATTAGTTAATAGGACTAAAGAAATAAGAGTATTCAAAATATGGTATTTAATTTTTATTATCACTAAATGTCGTATTTTTCTAGTAATTATAGTAATACCAACATACACGCATTCTATAATTACTCGTGTAATTGTTATAATTACTTATGGTAATTACGTACATCTCAATGACACAAAATTAGAATCAAATCCAGTGCTTTCTAGAAAAATGTTTATTTATTAGTGCTTGAAAAAGAGAAGTAACCCATACATTTACCAGCTATGCATGCCTCGTAATTAACCAATAAACAACAAGAACAATTGTGTAAAATTCTGATAGTGGAAACAACATTCTCAAAAATTATTTCTTCATTTGTCGTGGGTTTCTTGGGTTTTCCTTCAAGAGAATAAAAAAGACTATTTTTGGTAAATTATGTGTTTTTCAATGGTATGAAATTGTTGAGGTAAAGTGATTATCCTGATATTATAGCCTTTTAATGTTCTAAAGCTCCCATTTTTTTTTTTTTTTTTTTTTTTTTTATCAAAAGACTATCTTGAGGAACAAAAGTTATAGATAAAACTTCTTTCTTCTTGAATATCCCTTTTCTATATATTTTCCAATTTTGCTCAAAAATTGATTTCAGTGTACGCAAATTTCAGGGATTCTCTTCAAGCTTGAGCTATGGAACTTCACCAGATCCGTCAAAGAGCATTCTTCCAGCTAGAGCTGTGATCAAGACCGTAGACATAGTTAAAGGACCTTTTGACCCTTCTAATATAGAATACCTTCAAAAAGGCCTATCATGGGAAAAATTTAAGACTAGTTTCTTATCAAATTCCTAAGAAAGTTATTCATTACTAATGTATCGTTTTCGCATATTCTTTATGAATTGTAACTTATGATGTGTGACTGATAATAGAAGCATTTAAAAAAAAAAAAATTGCGACATATGATTTTACAATTATAGAATATTACTGTAATTGCAATGTATCATATAATATAATTTATTATGACCTTGTATTAAACAAAGACAGAGAAAAAACTCTAGTGATTTTTTTGTTTTTAAAAGAATTTATAACATTTGGCTCAGTCTCATGCAACTCATTGGTCAAGACTTCAGGTCTATGAAACAATGAAATATAAATGAATGATTGTAATGTTGGCTCTTATCTCTTTTATAGTCCAATCCCTGTTTCAAAATTGAGATCTCTTTCTTATTATTTGAGGAACAAATAACACTTAAAATAGAATATTATTAGCTTTATAATAGAGCTATGAATTCCATCTCTAAGGTAATATTTACACGTGATATGATTTTAAACATGACGATATTTACCTTTTATGTGTGAATATTGTGTTTTAAACTATTAATTTGATAACGCTCGTTAGTTATAAGATATTAATTACAATTGATTTTAAAATTTAAAGTGTAATTTACTAAAATCAATAGTTCAGAGTCTATTATGTAAAAAATGAATAATTTAAAGTGTAACAGTGCAGTTTACTTTTATTTTTGGGAAGGAAGTGTACACTTCCATTGCAGCATGCATTGTTATAAACTTTTTTTTTTCCTGGAAAAAGGTCAAAGATCTTTAAGAAAGAGAAATTTAAGCCGCAAGTCTCAAAACTTTGAATTTGTATTCGTCCAAACTTACATTTTCTTTTTAGGTTGTAGCGGTTAGTTCCCAATAGTTTTTCACTTGAATGCCTTTAAACCCAATGAGTTTTTGCGTCTAAGGTCCCAAACTTTTGACTTGGATCCGTAAATATTGGGTCTCCAAACTCCAATTTTTTGACACTCGTTTTATTTTTAATAAAAACAAAAATATACACATGGAAGCCTCATGCTCTCCTTTTAGAGGGTATTCAGGCAATTTAGGAGTTGTTCTTTTGAAGTGTGATTTGAGTGTAGTTTTTGGCCCCGTTCATTTCACTGATTCGAGTTTATAATTCGAGTTTTGCTACAGTAAAAAGCTCTTACAAACAATCACATCTAATTTTTTTGTTACAGTAAAAAACTCTCACATAAAATTACATCTCAACTCGAATTAAAAACTCAAATCAGCGAATTAAACAGGGCCAAAGACAACTTGAGTTTAAATTTTTTATGAGTTTTGTTGCAAAAGAAATCTTAAAGACAATTCCCTTTTTCTTTTTTTTTTTTGGGTAAAATTTTTAAGATGAATATTATTAAATAATAGTCTTTTTAGCTCTGATCTAGAAAAGTAATTTACCATTAAAACTACAAAGAAATTCCAAAATTCACAATAAATGGAAATTAAGCATCACGTTTCCTCAGTTTGATATCCAAGCCTCGGGAGAATGTGTATGTGCATGGCCAAATGAATCTACCTTCAAACAAGAAAATTTAATGGTACAAATCTGCCATATCTCTCCAATGGACAACAATTGACAAAGGACAAGGAACACCATTTTTTTATTTCTTTTTAAGAATAAATTGTTTCTTTTTGTGAAGCCATTCCTTCTATTTATGGGGACACCTAATACAGTTTTTAGCTTGCCCGCAAACCTTATCTATATGATTTTTTTTCTTCCTTTAGAAAAAGAAGAAAAAGAAAAATTAAAAAATTTATTCATAAAAATACATGAGTCTAAATTTTTATTTTTTACTCTTGATAAATATATTTTTATTAGTGTAATTTTTTAACTAAAAAGTTATAAATTAAAAATAATAAATAAAAATCTTGACTCATATAATTTTAAAGATATTTATCAAAATTATTCTTAAAAAAAGTACATAAAATATAAAAAAATAATTTTTTTTCTTTTTCATTTTGTTGAAAGGGAAGAAAAATATTCGATTTTTTTGAATGGGACAGAAAAAGTAAGGGTGCGTTTGGAATTGATTTCAAAACGTTTTTGTTTTCTGTACGAAAATGAAAATGAAAACGTTTTTACTTTCATTTTTGAATTATTTCTGAAAATGCGTTTGGTAGTTTTATTTAGAGATTGATTTCAGTTTTAAAAAAAACTGAAACTGCGTTTGGTGGTTTAATTTTTAAAAACATGTAATAATATATTAAATAATAATAATTATTAAATATATTAAATAAATA